ATATATATTTTTTTTTATCAAAAGGAGACAGACAGACAGACAGAGAGTGCTTACCTTGAAAGATGATTTTGGTCCGGTCTAGGGGGGCTACAGCTGTTTTGGCGAGGGCACCAGCTAGGGCCCCGGACAGGAGGGAGCTGAGCACTTGCCTGTGTTCGCTCTGCAACGGAACACAGAACACACGTTGCGGTTGGCAGAGGGCACCGGGGGTCGGCTCTGCAGGGGACCACACCTCAGAGACGTACCAGGGCCCAGAGACGCTCGGGGAGGCCCGGGGCCAGCAGCGCTTGGATCCAGGAGGCAGTGAAAAACCTTCCTGGGTGGCAAGGACCGTCCACACCGGAGGTGATGCGCTGTCTGGGCATCCTGTGAGGTTCTGTGTTCTCAGAGACAGATCCACAGCTGGACTGACCCAGAGCAGTAGAATTACGCCTCTCCTGGGACCAGCAGTTAGCGTAATGGCTGTGTTGCTGGACTCCCACATAGTCAACCACGGTTCGCGTCCCGGACCCGGTGGCTTAAAACTCATGCCGGGCGCGTGTGCATGAGTGCCCAAGATCCCGAGAGGAGAATAGAGGAGAAGGGATTGCGGTGTGGCCATCGCCCCGGGGGGTGATTTCTCGCTTTCTGTCTCTCTGTCTCTGTCTTTGTAGTGAGCGCACGTGCCCTAGAGCAAAAACCTCTCAAAAATAAAATAAAATAAAAAGATTAAGTTTGCCGTGGGGCACATGCACTTGCCAGAGAAAGAGACAGGAAGAAAGCACCCTACCCTGGGGATGGCCACGCCACAATCCCTTCTCCTCCATTCTCCTCTTGGGATCTTGGACACGCACGCACATGCGCCTGGCGTGAGTTTAAGCCACTGGGTCCGGGACTCGAACCACGGTCGACTATGTGGGAGTCCAGCGACATAGCCATTACACTAACTGCTGGTCCCAAGAGAGAGATTTTTGCTATACGGTGCATGTGCTTGCCAAAGACACAGAGAAACAGACAGAAAGCGAGAAATCACCCCCTGGGGGGATAGCCATGCTGCCTCTAACCACCATACCACCTGCTGGCCCCAGTAAGATCATTCTTTAAAAAATAAAATAAAATTAAATTAAATTAAATTAAATTAAATAAACCACTGTCTTAAGCTGATCAACGTAGTAGGAGCCATCCTGCAGAGCCCTCTCATCGGCCATGGTCTTCCCGCTCTGTTTGGGCAGCTCACTGAACTTCAAGGGACAGGCCTGCTCCGGGCCTTGGTCACTGTCACCCATACAGCCTGGCGCGTGAGTCTTCCCTACCCGCCTAGCGCAGGCACTGATGCGGTATGATCTGGAATTCGGGGAAAGGTCAGGAGGCCTGGAGGGTGATGCCACGTCTACCTTTGACCCCATGGACTTTGGAAACTGCCCGAGTTAGGCCCGGGAGCGAGGATGGCTTCCTGTGTGGGGCCGGGTCAGTCTGCGTGTTAGGTTTGATCAAGAGAATTTATAGGACCATGGAGGTTTCGGTTTCTATGGTGAACGAGATCGGGGGCTGATCGGATTTCTTTTCTGAAGGATTTTCTTGGGAGCAGCAGATGGCAGAGTGGTTACATTGACGGACTCCCACGCAGTCTTCCGTGGTTCGAGTCCCAGTCCAAGAGGCTTAAAACTCACACCAGGTGTGTGTGCGTGCGTGCCCAAGATCCCGAGAGGAGAATGGAGGAGGACGGATTGCGGCGTGGCCATCCCCTCTGGGGAGTGATTTCTTACTTTCTGTCTCTCTGTCTGTCTCTGTCTCTCCAGCGAGCGTATGCACCCTGTAGCAAAAATCTCTCTTCAAAAAAAAAATTAATGGGACTGGCAGGTGGTCTTTTGGTTGGTGGCACTGGACTCTTACATGGCCAACCACAGTTCAAGTCCTGGACCTGGTAGCTTGCTTTCTCACTTTCAACCTCTTTCTCTCTCTCTGTCTCCCTCTTTCTGTCCCTATCTGTTCAAATTACAACAAAATAAACTCTTGGCGTGGTGGTTAAGGTGCTGGACTCCCACAAGGCTGACTAGGGTTCAAGTCCTGGACCTGGAGGCTTGCTTTCTCACTTTCCTTCTCTATTTCTCTTCCTCACTTTGTCCCTCTCTGGTTAAATCAAAATAAATAAATAAAGTAAAGTAAAACATTAAAAAAAAAAAAACCCTATAAAATAAAAGGAAAAAAAGAGGATTCTCTTCTTCCATCAAAGCATGGAAGTAACAGATGAACACAAACTCCACCCCATAGCTATTTCAAGTTTGAGTAACTTTTTTTTGCTATAGGGCGCATGCACTCGCCAGACAGACAGAGAGAGACAGAGAGACAGAAAGTGAGAAATCACCCCCCAGGGGGGATGGCCATGCCGCAATCCCTTCTCCTCCATTCTCCTCTCGGGATCTTGGGCATGCACGCACACGCGCCCGGTGTGAGTTTAAGCCACCAGGTCCGGGACTCGAACCATGGTTGACTGCATGGGAGTCGAGCAAGGTAGTCATTATGTCACCTGCTGGTTCCAAATACATAATTCTTTCTTTTTTTTTTGGAGAGGTTTTTTTTGCTATAGGGCACGTGGACTCACCAGACAGACAGAGACAGAGAGACAGAAAGCGAGAAATCACCCCCTGGGGAGATGGCCACACCGCAATCCCTTCTACTCTCGTGATCTTGGGCATGCACGCACACGCACCCGGCGTGAGTTTTAAGCCACCGGGTCCGGGACGCGAACCGCGGTCGACTACGTGGGAGTCCAGCGACATAGCCATTACGCTAACTGCTGGTCCCAAGTTTGAGTAACTTTTTTCCCTCCTGACAGGGTCTCACTATGTTGTAATTCTCTTCCCTCATCCTCCCAGTCGGGACTGCAGGCCTGTGCGACCATATCTGGGTTTTTTCAATTTTTAATTAAAGGGGCCGGCAGATGGTGTGGTGGTTAATGCGCTGGACTCCCACCTGGCCGACTGTGGTACAAGTCCAACCTGATGGCTCGCTTTCTCATTTTTTCTCTGTCTGTCTTTCTTTGGTCGAATTAAAAAAAAATAACAATAATAATTGGGACAGGCAGATGACGTATAATGGTAACGTCGCTGGACTCCCATAAAGTCAACTGTGGTTTGAGTCTTGGACCTGGAAGATTGCAACTCACTCCAGGTGTGCGTGCGTGCCCAAGATCCTAGGAGGAGAATGGAGGGGAAGGGACTGCAGTATGGCCATCCCCCCAGGGGGGTGATTTCTCACTTTCTATTTCTCTGTCTTTGTCTATCCAGTGAGCACACCACCCTATAGGAAAATCTCTCAGACCAGCAGATGGCGTCATGGCCAAATTGCTGGCACACTCTGTAGTCGACGATGGTTCGAGTCCTGGACCCGGTGGCTTAAACTCATCATGCCAGGAGCGTGTGTGTGCGTGCCCAAGATCCCGAGAAGAGAATGGAGGAGAAGGGATTGCGGCGTGGCCATCCCCGCTGGGGGGTGATTTCTCACTTTCTGTCTCTCTGTCTCTCTGGCAAGCGCACACGCCCTATAGCAAAAACCTCTAAAAAAAGTTGGGATGGGAACCAGCAGTTAGTGTAATGGCTATGTTGCTGGACTCCCACATAGTCGACCGCGGTTCGCATCCCGGACCCGGTGGCTTAAAACTCACGCCGGGCGCGTGTGCGTGCGTGCCCAAGATCCCGAGAGGAGAATGGAGGAGAAGGGATTGCGGCGTGGCCATCCCCCTGGGGGGTGATTTCTTGCTTTCTGTCTCTGTCTCTCTGGTAAGCGCACGTGCCCTATAGCAAAAACCTCTAAAAAAAAGTTGGGGTGGGCAGAAATGAAAACAGGCATGTTATAGGATGCAGGGGATTTGTAAGGGGGTGCAGGGTGCACAGGAAAGGGAGTGAGGAGCTGTAGGAGATGGGGCGTGGGGGCCGGTGGACATGGTCAGTGGCTCGGCAAGGACGCAGGGATGAGGCACGCAGATGGCGAGGGGAGTGGATGGAGGGAGGCTGGGGCCCCTGGAAGCCCGGATACTTGCCTTGGAAGAGACCGGCGAGTGTAGGGTAGCCTCTGCATCCTCACGCAAACCCACGGAGCTTTCCTTCACACCATTACCCATACCAGGCCTGCTGGGGACTGCGGGAGACTCGGTCCTGGGGAAGCGAGAGGGGGGCCGGTGAGAGGCGGCAAGACCTGGCGAGGAGGCAGCCTCCCCTGTCAGCCCACGGTGCCCATGGCCAGCCCCAGTCCCAGCCCCGGTGGTCATTTTCTTTTTTTTTTTTTTGGAGAGTTTTTCACCATAGGGCATGTGCGCTCGCCAGACAGACAGAGAGAGACATAGAGACAGAAAGCGAGAGATCACCCCCCAGGGGGGATGGCCACGCCGCAATCCCTTCT